GATATGGTACCACAATGTCATTAAGATAAGATGGTGCCTGATTATTTAAGACCTTGTATGTGAGGAGCAGGATTTTGAATTCAATTCTGGATTTAACAGGGAGCCAATGAAGGGAAGCCAATATAGGAGAAATATGCTCTCTCTTTCTAGTTCCTGTCAGTAACTCTTGCTGTAGCATTTTGGATTAACTGAAGGCTTTTCAGGGAGGTTTTAGGACATCCTGATAATAATGAATTGCAGTCGTCCAACCTGGAAGTAATAAATGCACGAACTAGTTTTTCAGCGTAACTGTGAGACAGGATATTTCTAATTTTAGAGATGTTGTGCAAATGGAAGAAAGCATATTACATATTTACATATTTGTTTAATATGTGCATTGAAGGACATGTCTTGGTCAAAAATGACTCCAAGGTTCCTTACAGCATATTGAACCTTGAAGCAGGTGGGCTACAGCAGCAGGTGACCACACACTGTCACTGCTGCCAGCTAGGAACAGGAAACTGAGGCTATCATTTGCACGAAGAAGTGTTTAAGTCATGAACACCAATTGCATGCAAGATTATTTAATCTTTATGGAGGTTGGAAGGATAACAGCCAGGATAACATATCATTCAGTCCAACTGTCCTTTGTAAATAATTACTTAAGTTGTCGGATCAGTTTAGTTGAGTAAAAAGTAGGAACAGTTGCTGTGATATGATGTAATATAATTATATTATATTACGTATTATAATTATTTAGTTGCACAAACTGGAAAAAAAAGGACAACAAGCAAGTTTTAAGTACAGTGCTTGACACTGACTGGAACAATACGTCACTCTGAATCACTAAGTTGTTCACACCAGGATGTGTGAACAACTGACAACAACAATGAAATGCTGTTATAATATGTCATCTCTTTTTTCTGCATTTTCCTGATCTGTATTACTTAATCTGACCAGTTTTCTTTGTTTTTGTTGTTTGTTTGTGTTTTTTTGCAGACATGTGAAGCCTCACCAACCAGCTTCTCAAAAGAAACATGCCGCAAAGCCCTCAGAAATTTGCAAAGGCTGCAAGTGAGAGAAAACATAACAGTCTCAGAATTTCCCTGAGAAACCTCTTTGTTTATGCCATCGTCAAAAATGAGCTGTGCAAAGTGAGCTGTGCAGATATGATTCTGTTGACTGTGTGTTTGTGTGTTTCACAGGGAAATCATTAGCAAGGTACAAGAGCGTTACAATCAAACCTGGAAGAAGCAGGAGGAGAAATACTTAAAATTCAGGTAAGAACCAATTTGCAAACACTTCCAATTTTTTTCTATAGAAATTACAGATCAAAGTAAAATGTTTTACTAAATAGGAGTGTGTGTGTCTGCTCGAGTAAATTTTTAATTTAAAATAAAATTAAATTAAAGTCACAGATGAGTAGGGATGGGTATCGTTTAGGTTTTATCCGATACTGGTGCCAAATCGGTACTTTTGAAACGGTGCCGGTGCTCAAACGGTGCTCAAACCGGTGCTTAAAGAATGGAGAACACAAAATTGGTCCAAAAACCTCTCATGTTCAGCTGTTTTTTGTAAAAATATAACAATGTTAGCCTTTTCTGCAGCTATGGGGCATATATGGTATCACTCTTGGCTGGAAGCAGTGCTTAAACAATGGAAAAAACACAAACTTTGTCCTAAACCTCTCATGTTTAACTGTTTTCCACTTTTTCTTTGGTCATTTTAGCCTTTTTAGCCAGGGTGAAGGGAGTATCTGCCATCAAACAAGAGGACAGCCGCATGTAGCTAGTTCACCTTACATGCATTAATGTAATAACGTGGTTAGCCTACTCAACGTAAATTAGCTACTCACGCAGAGAAGAACGGCTGCTGCCACCATCATCCATCATCATTTCTGCTACACTGGCAGGGCTAGGAGCCAGGACTCTCCTCTTCGTGTTTTTGGGGGATGTTGCATAACAGGCAACCCACCGGCAGTAGATGTGCTCGGTGTGAGGTCTCGCAGCAAGCTATCAAATACGGCGCATTTCTGGGCTTTTAAAAAAAACGCTATGCGTCGCCAGGTGTTTCATCGGATTCGAGGTGTTACCTCCTTTGACAGTATCACAGTATCAGCTTAAAGCACTTGTTGCAGGCTGCTGAGTTTGCATCTTTTGCTGTGAAGTACAGTCAGACTTCTGACCGCTTCGCCTTGGACATTTTTAATCTGTAGCTCTGCTCTAACAGAACGTACGTACCTGGCCCCGCCTACTATCCTCGGAAACGTAAAATGATTGGCTAGAATCTAAAGTGTATCACAGCTCAGGAAAAAAAAGCACCGAAATAAAGCACCGAAATGTGCGCTGCTTTTCGGTCTGGTTACTACCGTTTATGTCAGAACCGGTGCCATCATGGCACCGGACACCGGTACCCATCCCTACAGATGAGCTCTGCAAGCATAATATGATCCCTACCACAATATATTCAAATAGTGTATCGATAACAGGATTTTTTTATGCAAAGATTTGATTGAGGTATCAGCCTATCAGGTATCAGGTGTCATCAGCCTCATGTAGGAGTCAGTGAGCCAGTAGCTTAAACCAAAGGAGCCCTGCAATGAGGGATGATGACTTTGACATAATATCTCTGTAGGCACAACAAAGAATACTTGAGATATTTACCATGTGGGTAAATATCTCTTTAAGACTATGTGACTGAGACTTTCTATTAGCTCGAGCTGCATAAAACATTAACAGGAGTTGTTGTTGTATTTGTTACCTACAGCTGAAAGAAAGATTTTTTTTATACCGATTACTAAAGCTAACTGTGTTGTAATACACTGCTCTTTTATTTTATTTTTAACCTTTTCCTGTTTAACTTTATATTGATCAATGTTTGTTCCTCCCCTCACTCACCTGTTGTATGCTCTCCTGCCCTGTGGGTGTACTGATGTCTCATCTCTCTCTGTCTATTTATTCACACTGAACTATTTCACTGAACACGTCAATGAACATGAAGAGAATCAAAAGCATTAAAGAAATGGTATTCCTTGGCATTACGTTAAGGGACCGATAGCAGTGGTTTCGTTTAGATTGGCAATGTCTGTTAGTATAAATTAAACAAGCATCAACTTTAAATATTGACAGTTTTCTTAGATGTCACACAGGCTTTCAGACACATGGCTAATATGCATTTCTTATAATGGCATTAAAATTTATTTTTATTCGAGATCCAACCATTATCATGTTTTTAATAAACTAATGTTATTTCCTAAAATATTCTTCTAATTCACTGCATAATATGAAATTATATGACAATCCAGATAGCTTGTATTTTGAGAAAAGCAATATTTCTGTTCCCAGTTAATAACTGCAAACCGGTTTGTCTGGTAAATAGCTAGCCTGTGTCAACAAAGTGTTTTATATTCCCCAGAACTGATCTGAGACTTAAGTGCAATGGCATTGACAAAGCAATCATTACCAAGAATAACACTCCAGTGGGGTTGAAGCTCATTTATGATGGGGAAAAGAAGAGGACTCTACAGGTGAACAAAGAGCTGTTCAGCATTTTTACAAAGGTAGGGTTTTTTGTTTTTGTTTGTGTGTGTGTGTGAGAGAGGCGGGAGGGGCTGGGGCTTGCTTATGTAAATACATACTCAGCCATATGTAAGTAATGCACCATCACTTTTAAAAATATGTTTTTAGAAGTATTACAAACAGGAACTTAAATGCTACACCCCCTCAAATGGATACAAACTAAGTATAAAGTATACACCAGTATAAAAAAGGAGAAGCAGAAAAACTGCATAGTAATAACAGACATGCAGTCATTTCATCCATTTCAAATTCTTTTATTTGTTTTTAAGTGTCTTAAGGTCTTGCCCCTTCTTATTTGTCTGAGCTGCTTCACCTTTACATGCCTTCACGCTCTTACATCAGATAACCAAATGCTTTTGATTGTCCCGTAGACATTTTGTAAATCCAGAGGAGGCACAGCCTTTGCAGTTTTGCCTCCTAAAATGTGGAATGAGCTGCCAGGCAGGCTCCATCTCTTGCTGTTTTTAAAAATCATTTAAGAACACAGCTTTTCTCCTTGGCTTTTAACCCAGTGTGAGTTGTTATCTGTGTTTAACCTCTCGCTCTTTGTTTGTACCTGTACTGATTTATTCTTCTGTTCTTGTTATCTTATTTTTTTTAAACATTTTAATTTCTCTGTTTCGACTGCAATTCGGTCAGTTGTTATGTTGTTTTGAAGTGTTTCAAAAATAAAGTCAAATCCAGAATGAGAGATATAAAAATATGTAAGCTACCAAACCACAAAAGCTAAGGTGATATAGTAGCATCTCAACCAGCAAAGCAACAAATGCTGATTTAGTTCAGTATCAGTTTAAATTGACAGCAAACATGTGTGAATTGAAGAGGAAAGATTATATATAAATCCTTTTTGCTTCAACATTTGACATCAGCAACAATGGTAAATGTTTTTTTTTATAATGCCTTATTTGTCGCTGTCTATTCCAGGAGAATCCTTTTTCAAGTAAGAAATGGGACACTTGTTCAGTAGTTGGGAATGGTGGGATCCTGTCTGACAGCAGCTGTGGAAAAATGATTGATTCAGCTGACTTTGTTATCAGGTGAGAAAAGTGTCCAATGTAGACCAAATTCAGAGTGGAAATTCCACATAACCATTCCTGTGTCTACTTTTTTGTTTGTTCAGGTGCAACTTACCTCCTTTGGAAAATGGATATGAGAAAGATGTTGGCAGCAAAACTAGCCTTGTGACAGCAAATCCAAGCATCTTCACACAGAGGTAAGCAAGAAAAAAAGTTGCTGTCACCTCACATTACTTATGAGTTGTTGCTCAAAGTCAGCTATTTCTTTTGCACAGGTATGGCTCCCTGGTGGGACGCCGCCTTCCATTCGTGGAGAGTCTTCGCAAGTACGGCAACTCTCTGCTGCTCCTTCCTGCCTTCTCCTTTGGTATAAATACTGCTGTGTGTCAGCGAGTTGCATATACAATAGAGGACTTTAAAAGCCCTATTCGACCTGTTTTCTTTAACCCTCAGTACCTTGACAGTCTGGCTCAATTCTGGAGCTCTGAAGGCCTGAAAGAAAGGCGGCTCAGCACTGGATTAATTATGGTTAGCATGGCCCTGGAATTGTGTGAAAATGTGCATCTGTATGGATTCTGGCCCTTTAGTAATCACCCATATGGCCTCTATACCCTGACTAACCACTACTATGATGACAAACCAGCTAAAGCGAGTTTTCATGCAATGCCAGCTGAATTTAACCGCTTGTTGCAGCTGCACACTGAAGGGGTACTCAGGCTTCACCTGGGAGACTGTGAATCAGATGAAAAATAGTTCCCAGGGATAGACAACAGCACAGAAGCAAAGTGCAGAATTAAGTGCCTTCTCTATAGCCTCAGGATGAAGTTAGACACTCAATTCATTTCATATGTGTTTGAGAAAATTTAGACATTATTTGTGGTTAGTGGAAAGATGGAAAATGGCCACATAGACACCTTCCTTACCTTCCAGCAACCAAGACATTTGCACTGATGAGTGCCTCTTTAACCCTATTTATTAAACAGATGTTCCATTTGGAGTCTGAAATGATTTTAATGCAGTTTGATGCCTGTGTAAGGCAGTTGCTCTCAGTCTAGTGCCTCATGAAAGATTGATCTCACCTTATATTCTGAAATACCTCCATTACATGAAGACATTCGTGCTGAAAAGCTTTTTAGAAAGAAAACGAATACACTGAATGTAAGGCCTATTTTGACATTTTTTAAACTATTAACCACTTTGTATTTTAGTACCAGCTGGTAATGAATGTGTAGTGCCTGATATAAAATCACACAAATGTGTGTTATGCTTCGTCACTGCAGTGACCAGACGGTGATAAAAAACTTACTGCCACAAAGTGGCAACATACATTTATTGGTAAAATGTTAGTTGTGTAAGTTCTTTTTATCTCATTGTTAATTGTAAATGTAAAAATGTAATTGTAAAATTTGCACTTAGAGTGAAAACCTCTGTTCAGAACAGTTTCTTATGCAATATTTGTACCAGTATTTAGGTGTGTCTGATGTAGGTGGGAATGTTGCCTTTTAGGCTGGTATTTTTAAAGTATTAGCATTGATTTTTGTCATGCAGAAGTGCCCCTAATAAGCCACGATGTTAAAATGACATGCCTCCTGCCATTAAGGTCCCGCTTTTGCTTCCACAAGAGACATTAGACCTTTGTGGGTATCCTCTGGTGTAACTACACCAGCGCTGATGTGTAGTTACATGTTTTGTGAGGTGCATGCCAAGTTACGTGGAGTATTATGCAAGGTTTCTTAGCATAACACTGCATTATAAAGCTGTGAATTATCACACCTGACATCTCTTGTAGCAACGGCAACATATTGTGAACATTTGTATATTTTGTTTTTAACAGTATGTTATAAAAGGAAAATGAAATTCAAATGAATACATAAATATCAAAAAGTGTGGCGCCTTTCACTTCTCTAACCAGGTGGGGAAAGATTTATCTGGATGTCTCAGTTGGAAGATTTAGTATCTCAAGTGCTTAAAAACTTGCTGTCTTTTGGGCATTTTTGTGGTTAGTGTATATATACATATATTTATATGCATTGTTTCCCTTTTATTATTTTTATAATCCTGTTTTGTGTTTTTAAATACAGATTTCAATAAGAAGCACAGCTAATATTAGATAGTCCTATGACCAGCGATTTTAATTACTGTAGCAATGATGAGCATTCCATTTCTTGATAGATTTCTTTGCCTCTTCTTGGTAGATTTGAAATATAGCAAAAGAATACAACAGTTTTGCAATGTCCAGATAAAAGAAAAAGATCTCAAGTGGCATATAAAATAGTGTAAAGATATACATGACAGATTTATTCTTTATATAAATGGTAAATAATAGAGCTCTTAAAATATATCTCTGTGGAACTCCTATCAATATACTGACCACTAGGGCACTAAGACACTTGACTTAAAACCATTGGAGATACTTCCTAATAGACAGAAGATTTCATGATAGATGGCTATGCATTCAACCTTTAGGTTGCCAATGAAACATAGGAAGAAATGAAAATTGTCTAATTTGCCTAGGGACACCCTACCAGAGAAAAGTAACATACAACCTTCTCTTCTAACTATAAGGTTAAGGGAGCTTAGTCACTTAAACCTTGGTGCAGAGAGCTGGAGACACCATGGCTGAGTAGCTGTTCGTCATACTTATCTGAAGTTTGCCATCTGGGGTGAATGTGCAATTAGTGACAAAAAACTGGCAGGCCCATGATGCCATGCACACACCCTCATAGCTGTTCCTGAAGTTAAGTCACTCTGACTCAAGTAGAGTCCAGCAGACCTGCGGACATGGAAAGTAACGTGGAATTTATAACCAAGGCCTCAGTTATTGTATTTACTAAATGGTTGTTAAACATGTTTCACACTAAATGAAAGCATGGGTTCACAACAACTTAATTTTCTTATGCTTAAAGCTGTTAGTGATGCAGACAGATAATTGATGTTTTATGATTTAAAAGTTTAGTGCATTCTATTTACAGCGTTTTCACCAGAATATGCTATAAATAACAGTGCAGGTGGAAAAATGGGTCTCCAGGGGTCCATGGTGAAACTGCATCCGAAAACATTCAATTGTCTCTCCAGTACAATACTCTCTCAAAATAGGCACACTCACCACACTCCAGGAAGGGGAATCCAGGGAAGGTCTGTGCAGAGGGAGAAGACAATGTCGGATCCTTTGAGGCAAACACACACGAGCAAAATACAAGCTAGGAGCCAGTGCTTAACTAACAAGGTAGTTCAACAATCCAGTAATGACTACCTTAAGTAATGGCTGATGATGAGATCAGAGGCCAGAGGGGGTTGATTATCTTCAGGTGTGTAGGCTCAAGGGTAGGAACACGAATGAGTACTGCCTCACAGCACAGACAACAACAAACAATAACAGACAGAAGAGAGGAGAAAGAAACGGAAGCCTAGAGAGAGACAAAACAAACCCTGATATGTCAGCCAGGTAGGACCGAGGGACCACGACAATGTATGATTCTCTCAGAGAGGTGCATTTTTGATTACCTTAAAGAACTGCATGTCTAATAAATTGATCTGATAGTAGATTTCTTAAATATTATTGGTCAAATATTTTAGATATTACAACTTCCCACCTCATGCATGAAATCACAATCCTAATTCAACCCCATCACGGACACTTTGAAACCTGTGGGATCTTATTTTGGAAGTTTTATTGTATTCTATTGTACAGTATTGTACTTCCACCCTTATGAGATACTGGTGTCCAGGTTCCCGTAGTCTGTAATGGAGCTGCTGTCTGAGGCGCTGTCAGAGTGTACTGAGTGCGTTGGCATGCCAAGTTGTAGCCTGTAATGAGGTGAAACCACACACTAGGCCTGGATATTTAATTAGACAGACTGCTAGGGAAGTATTTGTTGCTCTAAATCTCGCATGGCACACTCCACTTTTTTGTTCAGAAACAATAATATAATAAGACATTTTCCCTGTTATTGCACTTGTGTCTTTTTAAAATAAAGTGTACAAATTATTAATGGAAAATAAATGTTGTATTTACTTCTTTTCTAGCTCACTAACTTTGTCTTTGAGAAAATCCTAACTGAAGGTACAGATGATGTAATAAGTTCCAGATGTTTCTTGGCAAGATTGAGAGAGAAACCCTTGTTTTAAGGGGGAAAAAAGACAACATTATTCCAAACTTATTAGACTATAGTGGGCGGGATGCAGATGTTGAATTCATCTATCACAGGGGTGGGGAACGCCAGGCCTCAAGGGCCAGTGTCCTGCAGGTTTTAAATGTGTCCTTGAACACAGCTGATTTAAATGGATAAATGACGTCCTCAACATGTCTTGAAGTTTCCCAGAGGCCTTGTAATGAACTACTCATTACTACTGATTCAGGTGTGTTGACCCAGGGTGATATCTCGAACCTGCAGGACACCGGCCCTCGGGGCCTGGAGTTCCCCCACCCCTGATCTATCAGAATAACTCTGTGACAGGATGTCACATGTTGGATTTGATTAAATATTTGTAGGTTTCACATAAGACCAAACAAAGTCACAGTGTAGGATGATTTGTTTTCCACCTTCAGTAGCAGGTAATTCAATTGCACATCAGCAGATTCTGCTGATCGACGCCATGCAGGACACCACAACATGACACATCAACAGGAGACGAGCATTTTAATAACCTGATCTTCCTTCATAACAATATCATGCACATCAGTTATATCGTTTTACAAAAATTGACATCATGGCATAATTTTACTGGCAGCTAACCCACGCTGGTTTTGTTTTCCAGAATTGTCGAGATGATTTTAGAGTAACATATTCAGGTGGAAATCTAAAAAGAAAAATATAAATAAATAAAAAGGTCCCATTCCCAGAGTTAAAGATGATTATTGTACTTCAGGTTTATGTCTTGCAAAAATGAGCCAACACTGGCCCTTGAGGCCTGGCGTTCCCCACCCCTGTGATAGATGAATTCAACATCTGCATCCTTGTTACGCCCCAGTCTAGGGGTACAGGAACGCAACACAAGTTTGGAAGAATTGCCCCGCCCTGGTCCCCAAAACCATACACAAAGGGGAAACCAATTTATTAGTGAATCGTGATTTATTTTTCTGCACTGCAAAAATGAAGCTCCGGGGTGAACAAAGGCCAAAATAACAAACAAAACAAGCTAAGTCAGGAGAAAGGTGTTATCTAAAACCCTATGTGAAATCCAACATCAAACAAAAGACAAGCGCTACACCTAACTCCCTAACTGAAATAAACAGGAGAAAACAGTGCAAGGAAAAACAATAAGGCAGCTCACCCCTTCTGTTGCAGTGCTATTTACAATGGGCTATTTACAATGAAAACTAATGTACACACTATATACAAAACTCTGAAAAGTCGCACAAAGTCACAGGCACAAAAGTCTCAGGTTTTGGAGGCCAGGGTCAGGTCTGCTGCTGCTGTCAGTGGCTGCCCCAGGACAACTGCTGGTGAGGGATTTGAAGAGGATCACATGGCCAAGGGGCCAATCAGCAGCCATCAGCTCATCCACTCCGGGACCTGCAAAGACTTAAAGGCACAGACAACAACAGCCACCAAAACAGATTATGGACAGGGCCATAACACCTGCCCACTATAGTCTAATAAGTTTGAAATTATGTTGTCTTTTCCCCCCCTTAAAACAAGGGTTTATATTGTCTAGCAATTCCTTTAGGACAAGATTTTCCTCCTCATTTTCTCCACTTTTCTTGTTTCAGGCTCTTTGGGAAGAGTAAGAGTTCTTTCTCTTGCTAAGCTTCTATTTATTTTTATTATTTTTGAAGATAAGACTTTCAACATGCCTTTAAAGTATATTATCTTTCTGCTCTTCCAAAAGTCTCTTATTTGCAACTCTAAAGTAATTCAAGAATCTTTGTTGTTTGTAATACAGTTAATTTATCCAATCAACATTTTAATAATAGTTAGCTACCAGAACATGGATTAAAACCCTGCAGCTATCTGGTTATTTGCTTTAAACTCATCTGGGAGTCCTCTTGGAACCCCCATGGGGTCACGTGCCATTCAAATGTGGGTAGGTCTCTTTTATAGAATTTGTGAGAAAGTTTACTTTCTGATACCAAAGTGTTTGCCTTTAGGCCTAAAACCACAGTAAAGGATATAACCAGATAAACTAGGGCACAGGTACAGGTTCCATTGCATAGATAGTTTTAAAGTGCATTTGAAAGTGTTGCTTTACCTCAGCTTTATTTGTTGTCTTTGTGGTTGACATGTGTGGCAGACTTACAATGGCTTACAGGTTCTTCTCTCCACTATTTTCACTGCTCTTAATGACTTTAAGGAATACCCAGTCTCCTGGCTTCACCCTTTTCTGTTGAAGGTCCTGGTTCCTGCTGTGGAACAGAATTTGAGGAAATGGGATGTGCTAAAAGGTGGGTCTCTACAACAAGTGGTGTTTGAGCATTGGGCTTTGATCACACCCTTTTAAATGACTAGTCTCTCTTAGAAAAGTCTAGAAAAGTCAGATTCTAGGATTCTAGTAGCAGGCCTATCTTATTTTCCATGTGAGGTTTCCTTTTCGCGGTCCCAGGCCACTTGCTCCCAATTCTAGTTGCTCCTCTGGTTTATGATTCTCGTCACTCTTTCAGTTGCCTCTAGCTCCCGCTCTCTACATTCTGAAACAGCACTTCTAACCCCAATACTGGGGTGGAGCCCCAGACTCCCCTATGCACGGTCTCGGTCATGCTCCCGAGGTGAGCGGGGGAAATGTTGAGATCCAGCTTGAAGGACCAAGCTGCCAGAAAAAAAAAGGAACAAAAATAAACAACAGTCAAGAACTGGGGCGTTAGTTCTTGGTAGGGACCAAAAGCATAATACACAAGAATATCTGAATATCTGTGGTCATTTGAGCAAATAGTTGATTAAAAATATTTGTTTTGGGAGGCATCTGTTTCAAAAGAGCAGTAACAATGTGCAGGTAATATATATGCAACAGTGACAACATAGTGATGAAGAAATGCTGCCACAAAGTGGACACTTGCATGTACTGATATGTGAAATGCTTGTATAATGTAGTTTTAAGTAAAATATAATACAATTTTAAAATATTAATACATTATCAGATGTGTTTTTAAAGGCATGCTTTTTTTAAGTTAATTTTGAAAAAAGTGCTTTGCCAGTATTAATCTAATCACTGCAAGAATTTAATTCTGCTAACATTAGTCATTTGGCAACAGAGAGCAAGTAAATCATCACTTCCCACTTCTCTCATTTTTCTAGCTGTTCGTTACTTAGTTAGAGAAACACCAGCTGAAAGCTTTTATGTGTTCATAAGCGTTTGGTTGGTATTAAGAGTTCATCTGATTGATTGGGCGGCATAACGGGCATTGGCCAAAAAAAA